TCGCTATAAAATGTACAACTTAAATTTAAATTTTACCAAAAATCGCATTATTTAAAAATTTGGTAGGAAAACAAGTCAACGTGAATTTTAAATGATGATCGTATTGTTGGTTGGTAAACAAGTGTGAGTCGTGACATATAGATTTTGGTGTGATGATTAATTAATATTAAAACCTAGTAAGTCAAATGTAGATCAGATCAAATTTGTAAATTGAGTTTTTAATTAGCTATCAAAATGGTAACACAACAGGGTTGGTTCTTTTATGTTCCGGATTCAAACTCCTTTGATACGGAAAATTATTTTTTAAATTGAAATATCCAAATACTAATTCTGGATGCCGAAGAGATTTATGAGTTAAAAATTCGAAATTCCCGTAGTTTATTAAAAAAAAAAAACTAACTATCAAGTAACATCCATTACTATATTCATATAAAAAAACTTTTTTCCGACAGAATCCAATTCACGAAAATGAGAAATCAAACTTTTATATTTGAAGATTTTGCAGGGGTAACAACATCACTTATTCTAAATGATTAGAGCCAGTAATATTTTGTTTCTCTAAGATAATTAAGAGTTATTAATTAAGTCGAATGGATCAACCAAATGGATTCAATCAAATACAGTATGTTCAAAACATCATGCATCTAAACTCGTCATTTTTGGCGCAACGATAACAAAAAATAAAGAATGTACAAAAGATATACGGTTTTGGACTAAGAAAACTAAAAATAAAGTCTAAATTGGGTTTATTTACGGTTTCATATATCACAAATTCACAATCCACGGTTTAATCTGCTTTGGTTTGAAACTTATTGGGCTGATTTATGCTTGAGCGGTTGAGCCTTAGGACAAATTATGAAAAAGGCTTTTTTTGGGTCACAGTCGATTTCTTTTTCTCCTTTTGCCTTTTAATTACACAAAAACGGGAATCAACCTACCAATAGAAAAATTAGCACAATCAAGAAAACTAATATGACGACGTTTTTTAATAATTAAATTATATAAAAAAACTCGATTATAGAAGTTTTATTGATTCAAGTTACCTGCCACTAGTCTTTCATCTACCATTCACAAAAGTCTATAATTAAATGGTTTACAAATGCTTTTCAATTATTATTTTTACTATTTTGTGCATAATGTTATAGAAAATATATAGATAAATTGGGTTGTGTAACAAATAAATAAAAGATAATTACAAAAATGACAAAAATCTAGAGAAATTTCAAGAGATGCCACTTTTCAAGTCCCGTTTTTCAAAAATGCCATATTTTCAAAATCTTTGCAAAAATGCCACTTTTTCAAAATTATTTTTCCATTATATCATTTATGTTTGGGTTAACTATGTTGTATTATGGTTTAGTTTTGAGAGTTTAAGTGGTTCTAGGTATCAAAATATTTTTTAGGGTTTAGAATTTTAAGATTTAGGTTCTAAAAATTCATAATTAGTGATATTTTTGCAAATAAATATCCCTAAGTGGCATTATTACAAACGTGCATACCAAAAATGGTATTTTTACAATTGACCCAAAAATCTAAGCCAAACCCTCTTTTGTTTTGCAAAGGAATCCCAATACTTTTTTTGCCAATTTTCTGCAAAGGAATCCCAATACTTTTTTTGCCAATTTTCTAATTATCTTTTATTTATTTGTTGTTAAGCTAACAAACCCAAATATATATGACAAAAAAATGAGAAAGAAGATTCATCAAAAAAAATATTCCAAAATATTTTAACCATTGAATTAAAACATATTTAATTAAAAATTTATTTTAAGTGAATAACTCCGAAATAATAGTTTAAATAGCTTACATAAATGAATGAATGGT